AATAAACAAGCAAAAATAAATAAATCAGCCAGTATTTTTTACAAACCATGCTATTGAGATACACTTCATACCCAACAGGATGCATCCGTTTAAAGTACGCAGGTCACTGGGTTTTACTATATTCCCAGATTTGTACAGCCATCACCAAATCTGATTTTAAGATATTTTCTTCACCCCCCCCCTCAAAGAAATCCCATACCCATCAGCAGTGGCTTCTTAATCCCCTCCCTTCAGCTCCTGACAACCATAATCTACCATTTATCTCTATGGATTTGTCTCTTCTGGGCATTTCACATACACGGAGTCACACAATATGAGGTCTTCTGTGACTGGCTTCCTTCACCGAGCATAAAGAAATTCGTGCACGTTGTGGCATGTAGCAACATATCGTGCCTTTTTATTGTCAAATGATCAACCCCCTCTTTTGACGGCTTACTTTCTACCACGCAGGGTGTCAGTTCCCACAGACTACCCATCAAGCATTGCTCCTGTGATCATCCCCCTTTTACAGATGAGGAAACCAGGGCTCGGCGAGGTGCTGTGACTTACCCACGATCACGCAGGAAAGTAAGCGGCAGAGCTGGAGATGAACCACGGCGCCACTGCAGGAAGCAAGAAGGGAGTGGAGAGCGTCTCGTGAGCCCAATGCGCAGATCACAAAGTCCTTTTTGCTCACATGATGCCTCTGGGTCGCTGTCATGATTGCTGACGATTGCCCTGTGAGGCTGAACGGAGTGCGAGGGATGTCTTACCCAAGGCTAACACGACCAAGGTCAGAGCTCCCACGCTGCTTGCTTGCACAGCTTTTCAGCATGTCTCCCTCTCTCGCACCTCCCTCGTCTAGTGCTTTTTCTCTCTGATCCTAATTTCTCAGCTTCTGATCTTCGGGGGCTATTACATCAGGCTGGTATGTTACCTCTTTTTTAGGGCTGGATGCCAAGAAAGCGATAATGGGTTTGTAAGTAGGGTCGAAGTGGGTTTTCCCATGAGTAGGGCAAATCTCGCTGCCTGAAACGGTCAAGACTCCACTCTCGAAAAGTCCTGCAACTCTCCATCCGACTATAACCACCTAGCGGGGACAACAATAATAGAAGTGACTTTCTCCTTGGGAGAGGCTTTCGCCTCCTCTTTGGATCTCCTCCTCTGAGCCCAGTGGGCTGGGGGTTTAGAGTCTCTTTTCATAGGAGACTAAAGCTTGAGGCCACACATCCGGTAGGAGGGGGCCGGGGTTGGAGCCTGGGACTGCGGGACCCGAGTCAGCCGCTGCCACACCAGCTCACCACTGGTTCCGTCAGGCATGCCTCGTGTCCCACCCTGCTCCCTGGTACGATGCAGTACCCAATTGCAAGTTGAATAAAAGCAGCTTCCTACATTTTTAAAATTGGGAATAGAGGTACCAGGCCAATATTTGCTTTTGTGTAGTGTTTGAAGGCTCAAGGGCAACTCTGCTGTTACTTGCTGTGTGGCCCAGGGAACGTTGTTCACCTTCTCCGGCACCTGGCTGGCACCATAAATCCTGCCAGTCAAGGCTCTGGGTTTATCCCAGGCTTGAACAAGTCTCTTTCACTCTCTCTTTCTCTCTCTCTCTCTTGCTCTCGCTACCACAGGTCACTTATTCACGCAACAAACATCTATTGAGCAGGTGAGTGGAGAGAGATAGATGCACACACTGGTCCTGATTCAAGGCGGGCTGCGACCGTGCCCTTCGGGCGCTGCATATGAGGGAAAGGAAGTCCTGCTCTGGACGGGCTCCAGGAGCAGGTGGCCTTTGGGAGGGGGGCAGAGCCCGGGTGCAAGTGACAGGTAAGAGGGGAGGGCATCCCAGGCAGAGGGCGCAGCTCGAGCAAAGGCCCAGAGGTAGATAACCCTGGGGTGTGTCTGGGGCCAAGCGGTGTGCCTGGTGAGGCCGGAGGGTGCAGATGTGGGCGGTGCAATTGGAGGGTATGTTGGGCCAGACCTGCGAGGCCTCGAAGGCCAGGTGAAGAGCTCGACTTGGCCCTGAGGTGTTTCAGCAGGGAGGGGGCTCACACAGACCTCTGAAGGCTCCCCTTGGCCCTGCAGCTCCCCACACGGTCAGAGCAGCCCCGTGAGGTCTGCGGTGTGATTGCTGCTTTCACAGAAACGGAAACCGAAGCCCCACCAAGGTGAATTAAAGTGCCCACAGTCACAGAGCCGAAGGGGCATTGCGAGGACAGAACTGCAGACAAGATGGCCAGGTCAGTTTTTCCATCTGTAAAATGGACATATTGGGAGGGCCCTTCCCAGTCAGGCGCTCTGCTCTCTGGTCCCCACCCCCGCCAGCCACCCAGATCCCAGTCCCAGACAGGACACCCGTTGAAAGGTCACGCCTATGCCTTGACATTTTCCGTGCGTCTCGCCCCCCCCTCGTCTTAACACCCCTACCTCATCCCACCTCAAGGGAGTCTGGCCCTGCCCTCTCTGGGCTCTCTCATGCCAGACACTGCTCATCTGCCATTAGTCACCAGTTGGTAGAGAAGTTGAGGCCTTCAAATGCCCTATCATGGTCCCACCCACTACTCCCCTGCCCTGCCCTCTCCCGCTCCTCCCAACTCAGGCCATCTCTGGCCTGGGAGTTCCTTGTCCTTGGAGAACAGCAAAGCCCAGCCAGGCCCTGGGATCCCAGTCGTGCTGTGTGACCTCAGGCAGTTTCCCCGACCTCTCTGAACCTTATTCTTTTCTTCCTTTCCTTCCTTCTTTCCGTTCTTCCTTCAACTCTCTCTGACTCATGCCTCCATCTCTTACACCACAAACGTTTATTGAAACTACCAGGCACCATGGCTCAGAAGCATTGACAACTGCCCTCGGAAGCCTCACTTACAGAGAGCTGTAGGACTGAACCTGACCCAGGCCCCTGAGGCCCTACCCCTGGGAGGGAGGGGGTGGGGAGCAGGTGGAATAGGACTGACCTCTGAACCATGGAAGAGTCAGCACAGGCTTTTGAATCAACCCGGGTTCCAAGCTCCCACTTCGTGGGAGCTGTGTGACTTTGGGCAAGTCACTTCACTGCTCTGAGCCCCAGTTTCCTTATTTAACAAATGACGAGCATCGTATTGTGAGATTTAAAAGGCACGTCTGGCTGGTACGAGGTTATTCAAAAGTTCTAAGAATTCACTTCTGTCAGGGTTCCTGGGTGGCTCAAGTCGGTTCAGCATCTGACTCTTGGTCGCGGCTCAGGTCATGATCTCACGCTCTGCCCTGGCAGTGTGGAGCTTGGAATTCTCTCTCCCTCTCTCTCTCTGCCCCTACCCCACTCATATTCTCTCTCTCTCTCTTTTTCTCTCTCTCAGATAAATAAATAAGCTTTAAAAAACTTTAAAAACCCTCACTTTTGAGGCCTGGAACCTTAGAGAGGTGAAGGACTGATCTCCCTAACGGTGGAGTTTAGGGAGTGACTCGACTTCATCAGTCAGTGACCCCGGGTACAAGACTTATTTGGGAGGCGGAGACTTCTTCTGAGCACCTCTAGACAATAGACAATATTCTCCGTTGTCTGCAATTTGTTTTACTCACACATATTAAAACTATTAAAATGGTATTCTTAGTATACCCGTTTTATATAGGAGGAAACTGAGGCTCAGAGAAGTCTAGTAACTTGCCCAGGGTCACACAGCCAAGAGTGAGCCCAGATGCTCCCCTCTGACCATTGCACTGCACTCCTCCCGCGTGGAGGTGAAGGACCCCTGCCTATGCTCTCTGAGGACCTTAAGCCCATTGCCACCCTCGTTGGGTCTGCCTTTCCTTTAGTAAAATGGAGTTTTGAATCTTTACTTGTCCAATAAAGTAAGACAAGGCAGGATTTCCCAGCCCCTCTGAACAGATGGGAAAGAGTGGGGCGAGGGTCCCCTGGTCCCCAGGCCTGGAATCAAGTCTTTAAGCCCAGCCTGGGCTCTGGCCACTGCTTGTCACTTCTTGGAAGCCGGTCCCGACCTTTGATTGCTCAAGTCACTGTGTCACTAAGGTGGCCGCGGTTCTATGGAAAGGGCAGAGGAAGGAACAGAAGGCAGCTGTCTGGGTCGCGTACAGGCCCGGGGCTCTGGGCCAGGTCCCCTACCAGGAACAACCCGCTGGGTATTCTAAAGAGAGTCGAGTGGGTTCCTGTCCTGGAGGGAGCTCCCAGACGGGTTACAAAAGAAAATTAGTAACAAATAGAGGAGAAGGTATTATTTCCAAGTGGAAAAGAATGGACAGAAGCAAAACGCACCCTTTCGCCTGGGACAGGGCTGACATTTGTAGAAACATACAGCCTGCAGTACCCCTCCTACCAAGCCTGACGGTCCCCAGCCCTCCTGTTTCTCCTTGAGGTCCCTGTCCCTCACGGCCAAGTGTTTTGGGACACTTGGCTATTTTGCTCCAAAACTCAGGGACCCCCAGTTATTAAGTGCTAGTTACCTATTAGGTGCTCAACCTCAGTCTTTTTGGTAGTCGTAACTCCAGGCCTACAAGAAAGGAATTCTTGTCACCATTTTGCAGAGGGGAGACTGAGGCCCGGAGAGTCAACCTACCTGCCTGTGGTCACACAACTGGTCGGGGTCGGAGCAGGAACTCCAAACCTGGTTTCTCGGTTGCTGTCACTCACCCTGCTTCTTCCTCCGAGCTCTTGCCAGCTGCAGGAAACAGTTTTTGTTACCATATCTGTAAAAGGGGGCAATTACAAGGTTCACTCACGGGGTTATATTTTACAGGTCAGCAGGACCCATCACTGTGTCGCGAGTTTGCTCCCCTAAAACCCCCGACAGGGCCCATTTGACCCAGGGACAAACAGCCACTAAAGCCACGTGGATGTATTCCCTGCACTAGGTCACACAGGAATGGAAACTAAGGCCAGCTTGGTAGCCCAGATCCATCAATACGTATGGAACTTGTTCCAGAAAAAAAAAATTGGGGAAGGCCCACAGGCTCCAGTCTCTCCGGGGACCCTCCCTGCTCAGGCTTCCTGGTGGGTAGGAAGCATAGGAGCCTGGAGAACCAGAGAGACCAGGATGAGTTCGGCCAAGGTGCTGGGTTCCAGGGGTCAGAGGCTGAGTCCCTGGAAGTTTGGCTTTGTTTCTTTCTGGCGCACAGTGGATCCGCAGGGAAACTCAGTGGAGGGAGCAGAGGGGAAGAGAGGGAGAGATGGGTGGAGGAGCAGACGGGTTGCTGGATGGACGACGGATGATGAGATGGGCTGAGGGGTGGACGGGAGAGGCAGATTATCAGTTTTGCCGCAGGAAGTGGTGTGGGTGTGCCTATCTTTGTGGGACGTGTGCATGTCTGCACACGAGCCCACGTCTGCGTGGGGGTGTATCTCAGAGTTTCTGCAGTTTTGTGTGTCTGTGGGCGCCCCGCTCTGCTTGTGTCCACACCTGATGATGTGTGTGTGTGTGTGTGTGTGTGTGTGTGTGTGTACTTCTGTGCCCAGGTGCCTCTATCACCCAGAGTCTGATGATGTGTCCAGGTGTCTCTGTGTGTCCTGATCTAATTCTGTGTCTCTGTCCATTGCCATCGCAGCCTTGAGTGCTGTCCGCTCCCCCAGGGGGCGCCCTTGCCCAGCTGCCACTCCTCTCCTCTCAGGCTCCTGCCCCCGGTGCGCCCGAACTGCCTGAGAGCAGGGCCCAGAATGGGCAAAGGTGGCCCCGCCGTGGCCCCGCCTTCTGGCGCGGCCCCGCCCCCTGCCCGCCCAAAGCGGGCTATAAGTTCTCTGTCCCTCTCAGCTTCGGCAGTGCTCGCCTTCAGTGGTCGCACTTGGAGGGTCCTGCCACCCGTCAGAGGAGCCACCGCCACCACCTGACCATGGCCGAGGGTGAGTATCAGGGTCAGCGCTGCCGCCAACTCACGGGCCGGCGCCTGGCCACCCCTCCCTGTCTCAGGGGTCCCCCCTGTGCCATGGTCGGCCTGGCCCCGCTGGGGCCTTTCCATCCCCAGGGCAAAATCATTAACCCCTGCCTCCCCGAATCAGACAAAGCAGTGGAACATGCAGGCGTGTTGTCAACTGCAGAGCACTGGACTAACGGGCCACTGTCACTTGTCCTAGGTCAGTTAGCGGGGTTGGGTCCCTGCCGTGGGCCGGCCGGCCCGAAGCTGTGCAGCGGGGTCTGGCCTGGCCTCAGGACACTTAGCTTTGTTTGGTCCCTGCCAGCCGCGGGGAGGAGGCCTGCATGTCGTACCTAGAGGTGTGCAAGTCATGCCTGGCTGACTCCTTGGCCCTGGGGCCAGAGAAGAGGTTCTAGCACCCTCTGGGCTGAGAGCACACATGTTCTCTAAGGTCCCCTCCGGCCCCCAAGTTCTGCAACCCCAGTCTTTGGCCACTTGTCGATTCTCAGTTTCCCCTCCCATAAAACATGGATGGGTCGCCCTCGGTACATCCGTGAGGGCCAAGGGGAGTGGAGTCGGGGTCCGATTAATTTCCTACCTGCTCCCCCACTCCACACACACACACACACACACACACACACACACGGTCGCAGCGGTGGCAGCACTCCCGTCCCAGGGGAGGGGTTTCTGCAATGCAGGGTGTCCGTGGACTAAAGCGGCTGGACCCTGTGACCCGGCTAACTCTCGGCTCGAGTCCATGTGGAGAGGGCCTCCACACCACACTGCAGCCCGGGAAGGAGGCGCTGGGAGAGGGGCTCTGAAGAGGGACATGGGGCATGTGGAGCAGGGACGGGAGGAGGGAAGCTGACCTACCGTGTGACCTCGGGCTCCCCTTGTCCCTAGCTGGGATCTGGCTCCCCAACACGTGAGATCAAAAACCAGCTCAGGGCTGGCTGTGATGGGTCCTCTAGGTGGCATCTGGGATGCAGTTTCCCATCCCTGGCCCCGAGGGAGGCTCAGTGGGGCTGGGGGACCCTGGAGGTGCCAGCTGTGGATGACCTACCTGCCCCATTACCACAGTGGCCGTCTCCTACAGGGGTCCCGCTGGCCTGGGAGACCTGGGGTCCTTTACTCAGTGCAGAAATCCTGTGATCCTGGAGCTCGGTGCTTCTGCACCTTGGGAGCTGGGCATGACTTCTGGAAATTCTTCTTTAGATAATAGCCCAAGAAAGCACCCCACCTGTCCCAGCCCAGGAACTGACAATCTCTCTATGGTCTTCCAGGGGGACGATGGTGGTCTCTTCCTGCTTAAGCTCTCTGGAGTAGAAGTTTTCAAAAAACAGTGTTTCCTCACCCTAGCGGGCCAGCCAGAAGCCCTCCCTGGCGGTGGGGGAGGTCTCTCCTGCTGTGAGCCCCAGGGGGCAGCTCCCTCGGGTCTCTTCCCAGGCTCAGAACAACACGGGAGTGTTAGGGAAGGGAAGGAAGGGGTGGGGGAGATGGGGAGCAAACCATGAGCTGTGGAGCGAGGGGCTTCCAGTGCAGGCTCCAGAATTCACAGCCCGGGTTCAAATCCCAATGCCGCAGCTTGCCTCGGAATATTTCCTCCCAGTGGTGATAGTATCTGCATAGGTGGAGTCTTTGTTGTGAGGTTTTGGGGGAGAAAAGCCGTGTCAAAGCCCTCTCTCAGCAGTCACCGGGCACTTGGGGATCTTCCATGGCAGAAGCAGGACACCCAAGTCAATGGCCCAGTGGAAGGACCCACTTGCTGGGTGACTTTGGGCAGATCCCTGCCCCTGGGTCTCAGCTGGACCGCGTACTCTCCAAGGGCCCCACGGCTCTGAGAGTCCACCTTGCCCACTCTCCCCACGCTGCGGTCTTCTTAATCTTAACTTTGAGCTTGCCAGGATTTCTGAGGTGTGTGCTTCCCTCGGACTCCCCACCCCCACCCATGACCTGTACCCCTGCCTTGGCCTTTAGCTCCCTCTGAAACTACAAATAGAGCTTTCACATAACACACTTCTGCCCTGGGCTAGGCCCAGCTTCCTCTTCTCGTCCTCTCAGCAGCCTTTTGAGACTTCAGAGGAGGCACAGAGAGGGAGAGAGACCCATCCAGGATCACACAGCAGCACTGCAGGACTGAAAAGCGTAGGTCCGGAAGTCTCCAAACCCTCTGTCATTTTCAAACCTTTTTTTATCATGGAGAATATTGAAGACACATCAAAGTAAAGAGAAGAATATAATACATACCTGTGTTCTCATCACCCAGCCTCCTGTGGCCGCTCCTGCCGCCCGGTACCCCTCACCTCCCCACCCCTGCCCCTGTTATTTGGAAGCAAATCTCAGACATCACCATTTCACCTGCCAATATTTCAGTAAAACATAAGGGCTCTCTCTCTTTAAGACATGAATAAATTAACCAAAAGTCCTTAATATCACCACGATTCCACGGGCATTCAAATCTGTGATTGTCTCATGAGTGTAATAAACGTTTTAGAATAGTTTTTAAAAGACCAGGATCCAGATGAGGCCCACATAACACGATGGGTCGAAATGTGTCTTCCGTTTCTCTTAATCTATAGTTTCTCCCTTCAATGAATTTTTTTCTTTTTTTTCCTTGCAGTCTTTTTTTTTAAGTTTATTTATTGATTTTGAGAGAGAGAAACAGAACGTGCCTGCAAGCGAGGGAGGGACAGAGAGAGAGGGAGAGGGAGAAAGAGAGTCCCAGGCAGGCTCTTTGCTCTCAGTGTGGAGCCAGACGCAGGGC